TTTTTCAAAAAGAAAAATTGAGAAAATAAAACAGAAGCACTGGTTTTAGCAAAAAATAAATGCCCGATTCTATGGCATTTTTCCATATTTTTTGTTCTTTTTAATCAGTGCTTTGAAATCTTAAGCTTAAAGTTTTGTGCTGGGTTTATTCGTTATCCCACAAGTGCAAAATCAGACAAAGGAAATTTAATTTGCAAAAGGTTCAGATACAATAAAGTTAAATTTAGTTTTTAAAAATTAGATACGTCAATACATAGGTTACGTAATATTAGATAATATTTTAGAACGTAATATGACGTAGTCCTTAATTCAAAAAATTATTTGAATAATTTAGAACTCGATGGAGGTATCAGATTTTACTCTAATCTTTTGCATTCAAAATGTAACAGGGCCTAAGAGACTGCCCCCTTCTTCAACAAGGAGCGCTTGACGCATAAAAAGGCGATCAGTTTAGCTAGAGTTGTAACAAAGAAAGATTTGTTATAAAGATTTGTTAATTAGAGTTTTAAGAAAGTGTTGTAAGAAAGAGTGTGTGTTGAAACAGCCACGTTCGGGTGGTATCCGTTTGTTCTTGTTTTTCCAGCACACACTCACGCATTGTTAGAGTATTGCAGCCATTTTGATAAAAGAAGACGCTGTTCTCTTAAGATGACTTCAGATCATGAACGACTGTCTTTTATTTGCTCCAGACGACGTGAAATAAAGAAAACCCCATTCTTTGTCCGAACTCCATTTTTCTCCCAAGTCTGAATGAATAAAGAGAGAACTTTCAACAACAGAAATCGCTTTTAAATGTAGATTTATTAAATTTATTATTAAGCATGGAATAATACAACACAAAATGTACGTTAACAAAATGTATTGAAACAAAGAATAGGTACACAATATTTACAGTTAGTTTGGTATATTCTTGGGAAGACTGTTCTGCATAATGGGTTGACTAAATCGCAGTCGGGCAGAGTCTCTGGATTCAATTTCTTAATCTCTACTATCTTCCCCGTCTTCCGGTACCAACCCATATTTATATGGTCGGTAGTCCGCTTATGTAAATTAGGTGTATCATACACAACATATATAAAGATATTTTTATAATAGGTATTTAATGATTTACCAAATCTTCTCAATAAAATTTAATATTAAATTATTAAACAATATTCTAATAAAATAAAAAATCATTAAAGGGAAAATTCAACAAAATATTTCTTCAGGCTCACAGACTGGCGGAGAAAAAAAAAAAAGGTAAAAAAATACTTGCATCACAAAAGAATAAATATATAATAAAAATGTTAAATTTATAAAATGCAACAAGGAACTAGAGGTTAGGATGAAAACCCTCGTCAAAAACAATGACAATGGACTTAAAAACCTATTTTTCGAAAAAAGGTTTTATATACTTTTATATATATATAATTTTAATTCATGTCCTCTTCACTCAGTTTATTTTCTTGAAAGTTTCATATCTGCTCAGTTTCGGATCCGAGATATAAAAAAGAAATTTCTAAAGAATTAGTGAATTTATTTTTAATCCCATCATTTTTAGAACCTTGCTAGCAGTGACGTTATTCGTGGTCATGCAGTAAAATACCTGGGATCAAAGGTGGACGCAGGCTAGATTCCTACCGGGGAACATTTTTTCTTTACTAAGATTTTCCCAATGCGTGGGCCGAAATATGTAATACACACAGCTTAATCAATAAAAATGAGACGTCTGTTTAAAATATCCACTATAATACATTTTAAGTAATATATATATATATATATATATATATATATATATATATATATATATATATATTAATTACAGTTCAATAGCTCAAACCTCCTGGTGAGTGGACAGAACGCCTTTAAAAAATCAAAAAACAAAATTTTAACAAACTAAGCTAGTTTAGAAATATAATTAATTCTAACTTCTCTACAATCTGTCTGTCTCCCTCTTTCTCTCTCGAAAGAAATATATATATATATATATATATATATACCATGTTTATTGTGTGTGTGTGTGAACATAATAAAATTTGCAGCATATATTTATATATTAACAAAGGGTGTTAATCATACCTTGAATCAATTTCAATATTGGTGACAAAATAATTGCATTAATATTGCTAATTGATAAAAACTTTTTTTTTATTATTTTATTTTATATATATATATATATATATATATATATATATATATATATATATATGAAATGTATCTTTATGCATTAGACATCCGACAACATTCATTTAAAAAACATAATCCCCTTTAACCCATTCTCTCAATTTAAAAATTTTGTCTGTTAAGTTTTAATCTCCCACCTTCTCTCCCATCTGCCCCTCTCTTTAGCTCTAAATTCGTCCCACACTCTCATACTTACAACTTTTTCTAAATTTTTGATTTTTATAACCGAAGTTGTTTTTCAGTTTTTCTTTTTGAATTTGTTTCTGATGGATTGGATCGTTATTTACGATTCCAATGGAATAAATCGAACCATGGAAAAATTAGTTTTGTTTAGTTTATGCCTTATATATATATATATATATATATATAAATATATATATATATATATATATATATATATATATATATATATATATATATATATATAGAGAGAGAGAGAGAGAAAAGCATGGATGAAATTGACAGAATGATTCTATTAAGGAACAAATACGAAAATCTGACAGACATCGCTACTTTTATTGTAGATTGATGATAAATCTTTGGTGGAATATAGAGGAACGGGAAGAATTCTAAATATCAAAATATTCTACGCATTCGTCTCTAAATTCAGTAGAAACGACAATAAAATTACTAAAATATCTCAAATTTATCAAGGTTTTCCAATTTCTTCTTTATTATTTCATTCTGTCACATTTCTTGAATTGACCAATACAATATATATATATATAGTATTAAATAACATTTACCGGCCTGAATGTCCGAGAAATTTTCGTAGAAAGGTTTTAACGTCAGCGTAAATGATTTGGTTCCGTATAGGATGCAGGTTCGAATCCTGTCAAAGGACGAATATTTTCTAAGAAAAATTTCTCGGAGATTTTGTAAATGTTATTTAATTCTGTTTATTTTAAACAGAGCATTTTATATTAAATACTTGTATCTATAAAAAGAATGTTAAACATAAAAATGTCTTTAATATATATATATATATATATATATATATATATATATATATATATATATAACAATGTATGATTGGTGTATACGGAATAAATTCCAATCACCAAAATTACTATTCTTAAAGGTGTGGCTCAATATATCAAATAGGGGAATATAATTATTTATTTAAAAATTAAACATAAATATGTTATAAAATCCCGAACAAATTTGGCATTTTGTTTCAATACCTTTGGTGTCTTATCAAGTGAGGATGTTGAATACAGAATAAAGGTTGTAAAATGTACAAATTAACTAACCACCCATGGTAAGGGGAAACGCTGTTACATGAGCTGAAATGACCAATCAAAATACAAGTATACGAGAATTTAAAAAACTTGACAACGAAGTAAGGTTATAATAATTATTAATTGCTTTAAAGTTTAAAATTTTAAAATTATTGTGTTCGTGGTGGGAATGTTCTTAAGTGAGAATCCGAAATTGATTCTATCCATAGAATAGACAATACTTTTAAAATTTTAAACTTAATATAGATTAAATTTTCATTTTTGAAATGGGTAGTTTTTAATTTTAATTTCAAATTTTATCGTACAATTTAATACTTATTAGTTTGAATAAATTTTATTTTAGTATAAACCTCAACTTTAAAGCATTTAATAATAAATTATAACCTTTTTTCGTTAAAAAGTTTTTTTGAAAAGATTATATTATATTTTGATTGGTCATTTTAGAAAATGTGATTAATTTTGCCTTGAAGTTTGAATATCTTGATTTGAAACCTTTTAAAACCTTTTATTCTATTCTACATTCAACATAATCAGTTTATAATAAGACACCATCTGCTAAAAACTGGGTTATTTTTGCTATTTTATAAACTGATTTTATAATTATATTTGATATATATATATATATATATATATATATATATATATATATATATATATATATATATAATAAATGAGTTGAAAATGCAATTGAGTCATTAACAATATTTATTTACAGTAACTTTACGGGTTCCACATTTCTATGATTTTCAAAACTTAAAGTGATATAAAGCGATGTGTGGCTATGCAGTGATATGTTTCGCATCTAAATTTACTTCTAGAATGATTTCCTTTTTATGCAAAAAAGTGGCTCAGATTGCTATCTGTTTTTAATGTAATCTGATTGGTTGATTATGATCAGCTGATCAGGCATCGTAATTTTTGTGGCAAAAACTGAAAATAAAATTTTGTTATATATAAAATTATATATATATATATATATATATATATATATATATATATATATATATATATATATATATATAAACATTGATTGAAAGAAACCGACACAGTTTGTCTCACTCTACTTGAAAAGTTGACGTAACATAATCTTCTTGCCAGCATTCACCTCCTTTGCTAATGTGCTACACTGAGCTAAGCTTGATAAGTTTTTGAAATGCCAATTCAAGAAGTCATAAAAACTGTGTGAATGCATTAATGCAGAACGTCTTCTGTGTTGTGAAACCATAAAAGAAATCCTTCCAGATAATGTCTCCTCAGACGATGAGATCTTTTGCTCTTCGTGATTTAAATAAATCCCCGCCAAAAAGAACGACTCTATGTTCTTCATTCTTGTTTATTTTTTTGCTTTATTTTGTCACAATTACAAGAGAAAAGGCATTTCATCTGGTTTACTGCTTCTTCTGGTGGACATTCTTGTAAGGAGATTTTATGGTTCATTCGTCGATTTACTATTTCGCTGCCTGCTATTGGATGATTTTTAGCTGAAAGGAAGAACAAAGCTAAGAGTTTTCTACCGTAGACGACATTGAATTATTATCTAATATCAAAAGAGATACAAAACAGAAAAGACATATTTTGAAGCATAAATCTTTTTTAATGTTTTCTTTTTTTTTATTACTGTCCATTGCCGACTTTATTCATATCTGTCTATCTCAGTCTACCCGTATCTATCTATCTATCTATCTATCTATCTATCTATCTATCTATCTATCTATCTATCTATCTCAGTCTACCCGTATCTATCTCAGTCTACCCGTATCTATCTATCCAGTCTACCCGTATCTATCTATCTATCTATCTATCTATCTATCTATCATATCTAAATATCTATCTATCTATTCCAGTCTTAGTAAATTAATATTTATCTATCTATCATCTATTATCTATCTATCTATCTATCTATCTATCTATCTATCTATTCCAGTCTGCCCGTATCTATCTATCTATAGATCTATTAAAATCTCTATCTATCTATCTATCTATCTATCTATCTATCTATCTATCTATCTATCTATTTCAGTCTGTTCAAAATTGATTAGACCCAAACAATAATGTTAACATATTCACTGTGTCTCACATTATTAGAAACTTTCAATATTTCTTAATTTAAAAAAAAATCAAAATGATTTCTGGAAATATTTTCATTATTTATTTGCCAGATATTTAGCAGAAGATGTATAAATAAAAGTAGATTACAATCCCCTCTAACGATTTAGAAACAGTTTTATGAATTTTACCATATAGCTGAATTTCACTTTATTAAACAGGTTATTGAAAACCCTAAAAAGCTGCAATTAAATATAATTACATAAGAAATACAAAAGTTTACACCAGTGACGCCTTTACCTTGAGTGGGCTGATGTTTTGAATAAACCTTGAAAACTGGCATTTTCATAGAAGGTTAAGGCACGTCAGTGTAAATGACGGTTCCGTAAAGGATGCAGGTTCGAATCCTGTCAAAGGACGAATATTTTCTATGAAAATTTCTCGGACATTCAGGCCGGTAAATGTTATTTAATACTGTTTATTATAAACAGAGCATTTACTTAAATACTTGTATCTATAAAAAGAATGTTAAACATAAAAATGTCTTTTAATATATAATATATATATATATATATATATATATATATATATATATATATGTATATATATATATGAGTGTATGATTGGTGTATACGGAATAAATTCCAATCACCAACAATTACTATTCTTAAACGAGTGCTCAATACAGAGCAGGGCGAATCTAATTATTTATTTAAAAATTATAACATAAATATGTTATAAAATCCCGACAAAAAGTGGCATTTTGTTTCAATACCATTGGTGTCTTATCAAGTGAGGATGTTGAATACAGATTGTAGAATAAAGGTTGTAAAATGTACAAATTAACTAACCACCCATGGTAAGGGGAAACGCTGTTACATGAGTTGAAATGTCCAATCAAAATACAAGTATACGAGAATTTAAGAAACTTGACAACGAAGTAAGGTTATAATAATTATTAATTGCTTTAAAGTTTAAAATTGGAAACAGTTTTATGAATTTTACCATATAGCTGAATTTCACTTTATTAAACAGGTTATTGAAAACACTAAAAAGCTGCAATTGAATATAATTACATAACAAATACAAAAGTTTACACCAGTAACGCCTTTAATTTGAGTGGGCAGATGTTTTGAATAAACCTTGAAAACTGGCATTTTTGCTATTTCCAGCTTTGGTTTAAACTTTTGAAAATATGAATATATCTTTTCAAATTAGATTTTCGAATCATTTTTAAAAATGGCTATTATTTTCATATTTCGAAATTCAGGATATTTTATAGAAAAGTCTGTCGTTTGTTTACATCTGCGCAAAACAAAACGGTTTTCATTCTGACTGCACAGATAAATGTTGACATTATTCCGCAAATAAAACTTTAGATTGAAAATAAAATTAATTTATATATTGATAAAATGTTAAGTTTATTCATTTTAAAAATTTATATTAATTTTTATATCATTTTGTGTCTGTTAGATCAACTTTTATCTCTAGAAGATTTAAGATATTCACTAACAGTTACTTCATGGAAGCGATTGCCAAGAGGATGATTCACTGATCACTACAATCTTAACCTGTCCAAGTATAAGATTCACATTTATCTCCCACATAAACTGGGTCTCATACTCTGTAACTATCTACTTCGAGTAGATCTTGGCTATTTTAAATAATAGACTTTATCAATTCAAGCACAGTACGAGATTAGCGACAAAGTCTCACCATTGTGCAGTCGAAATGATTAGATGTAACCGCAAGTTCTATGCTAACAGTTTCTTTTCTAGCTTGTGTATCTCTCTTCCGGCTTCTTGCTTTCCAGTCAACTTTGATCTTCAAAATTAAATGCAATGTCAATCGTTATGTTCTGTCTTCTTAATTTCTGTTCTTTTATTCTTCTCTCTCGTTAAGATTTTTTTTCTCATAGTAATTAACACTCAGTAACCTCTTGCGTCTTAGTGTCTTTATTGACTTACTTGGGGTGAAATGATTAAAAACGATTCCCCTGTTTAGCACAAACTGACAGAAAGCTGAAAGAGAGAGACCAATGTTACGTTGGGTAGATTTTCGTAAGCAAATGCTGACGACAGGCGTTTAGTTTATCCTATTCCGAATTATTACCGGGTATAGTTTATCGTAGTCCAGAATATGCCCGGGTATAGTTTATCCTAGTTCAGAATATACCCGGATATATTTTATCCTTGTCCGAAATATACCCAAGTATATTTTATCCTAGTCCGGAATATACCCGTGTATAGTTTATCGTAGTCCGGAATATACCCGGATGTAGTTTATCCTTGTCCAGAATATAGCCGGGTATAGTTTATCGTAGTCCGGAATATAGCCGAGTATATTTTATCGTAGTCCGGAATATAGCCGGGTATAGTTTATCGTAGTCCGGAATATAGCCGGGTATAGTTTATCGTAGTCCGGGATATAGCCGGGTATATTTTATCGTAGTTCAGAATATACCCGGGTATAGTTTATCCTAGTTCAGAATATACCCGGATATATTTTATCCTTGTCCGAAATATACCCAAGTATATTTTAACCTAGTCCGGAATATACCCGTGTATAGTTTATCCTAGTCCGGAATATAACCGGGTATAGTTTATCCTAGTCCGGAATATAGCCGGGTATATTTTATCGTAGTTCAGAATATACCCGGATATAGTTTATCATAGTCCAGAATAATCATCTGTGTATGACTAGGACTAGGATATTTCAGACTTATGGGTGTAAAATAGACTAGTCTAAAATTTTTCTCTATAGACCTCCTTGATATCAGTGCATTTGGTCCAACAATTCGTAAGCATTGCAATTACATTACAGAAGAAAGTGACGTACCCCAAAATCTCATCCACAGCACATATGATCTCATAAATCCAATCAAAATGGCGACCAAGATGGTGGGATTTGAGTTTAGAAAACATGAAGAAGTCAGTTGAAGCTAAGTCTGGGGAATAAGTGGGGTATGAATTCAAAGCCAAAGTTGGTTGCTTCAGCTACTTCAAACAGAGCAGTTTGAACGGTCACGTTATCCTGGAGCAAGAGCACACCTGCCCTCAGCCTCCCACTGCGTTTCAACATGATTGTTTCCTTTAGTTGTCTTAATTCTAATGCTCAGTACTGTCTATAGTTTTTCTCTTTTCCAGGTAGTCTATCCTGATTATGCCTTCAGAATCCCCAAAAGAAAAGCCATCCCCTTGCTAACAGACGCTACCCTTCTTGAACTTCTTCACGGGTTGAGAACCAAAGTGTTTCTTTGAATCTTTGATTCAAGTACGAAGTGGTGAATCTAAGTTTTATCTTGAGTTACGTATCTGCAGTGGAAATTCTCAGGGTCAGCCTCGAAGCGAATCAGAATTGTCCTGAAAATGTTAACCCTTTTCAGCTTCTGCTCTGGTGTCAGCATTTTTGGGACGCATCTTACAGACAAGTTTGCTTATCCCCAAGACCTCAGTTAAGACAGTATGTAGCAAACCAGAACTAATGCCTATGGACTTAGCTATCCCCTGGACAGTAAGACATGTCATCCAAAAACCATACGGTGAATGGCATCAACTCTCTCATCAATGTGTGAGGTTTTTGGACGACCTCAACGAGGGTCATTTTCTCTGCTGTCTCTGACCTCGCTTGAATTCTGCAACCCACTTCTTCACCGTTGAATAGGAAGGGGGCTCCTTAGCGAGGGTCAGTACCATGTCTTCATGTCATTCCTTCGATGACCGCTCGTTTGCGGATACTTTATGAATGCCAGGCCCTGTTTTGTCCATTTTGTGTTTTGTCGCACACCTTTCAACTTTGTATGGGAATCACCTGCAGAAATCTGAATTATTTTTCTCGTTTTATAAAACCTGGTAGTGTGTTGCCACAACAGAAATGCCCAGCTATGGCTCTTCTTTCCGGGTGATGTTCCGTACATATTCTTTTCGTCTAACAAATTTTATAACTGGGAGTATAAACTGGTATAGCCTAACTTATACCCTGGGTATACTCTGAGCTGGGGTTAATATTCTGGGCTCTTCCAGTTAGAAAGTATTATTTTTTCACAACAGGAATATATATTCACTTCAGTACATGGGTTAGATTTACTGTGGATCATTCCTTTATTAAAGTAAATGCTTTGGATTATCTGTTGTCAATATATATTCAGTCCAGTTTTATTTTTTATCAATTTTTATTAACCCTATATTTTACATTTCTCTTGTTGGATATATATATATATATATATATATATATATATATATATATATATATATATATATATATATATTTATTTGATTTTGAAAAATGCTTAAGTCCAGTAGTTACCGAGCAGTCTCTCCTTTCTGTTATTTAAGAAGTTTGCCCAGAATATATTCAGCAACTATTTAATGGCGCATTAGTCCTCTTCAAAATGCTTCTTTTAGGATTTCACAGATTTACCTCGGCGTCGCTTCCACTCTATCGGGATCACTATCAGCTTCTTCACAGCATTCTTTGAAATCCTTAATCTCGTCCATCATCTAAAATTAAATCGTTTTGGAGATTTCAGCTAAACTTTGTCGAGTTCCAGCAGACTTTTGTAAAATGTGGATTTGCTCAAATCCTTTTAAAATAACATGTTATTGACACGTTTATTCAGTGCATTTCACTGTCGACTTGGTATCGCCACCAGCGAGTGTTTGTCCGCGAATGCACAATAAGCTCCAATGCCATATTGGAAATACAAGAAACTGGCTGTAATATAATTAATGATTCTCCAAGCGTAGCATAGATGTGGCACAAGGCCGAAAGCATGGCGCATCCAGTGAGGATCGAACTCACTTTTCAGTAGTAACTGACATAGCAAGACAAGCTTGCTAACCATTACACCCCGCCGAGGTGCCCTAAAAAGTTTCAAAGCGTAGCTTAGATGTGGCACAAGGCCGAAAGCATGGGGCATCCAGTGAGGATCGAACTCACTACACAGTTGTAATTGTTCGAGCGAGACAAATTTGCTAA